GAAAATTGTGTAAAAAAAACACAGAGAAATGGAAATCCCTTTAAAACCTCCATCGAAAATCCATATCGTTCAAAATTTCCCACCTAAGCAGACACCATTTTTGTAGGTCAGGGCCCACTTGTATAAAACATCTCAAAGTTAAGGAAAATCTCAAGCAATGTATTGTCTATGGGGAATCTTAGACTTGAGGAAATCTCAAGAGTTGATATGTTTTATACAAGTGGGCCCAGGGTATTGACTAATCAACAAACTGATCCGGACCGGATAATTTTTGTTTTGAAAATTTCCGGACCGCCTCTTTTTGTTGATTATTCACTACCCTGACCTACAAAAATGCCGTTCGCTCAGGTGGGACATTTTGAACGATTGTAAACCGAGGACTCTACTGACGGAATTTAGTAGTTGCTGGTGATAATAAGCGCGAATGTGGATCAATAGTTAATCCATTTATCGATGTATGTGAGGTATGTGTTGCGTCATAGTCGATTTTTGTTGCCATCACCTCAAAACTCTCCGACACCAAACGGTGTCGGAGAATTCCACGTTTTCATATAGCAGTGCGTTCTGGCCCCACACAAGACATATATCTGTCAAAATGTTTATGGTGTCAGGGCCGGAGGAAACTCGGGCCTCCTTTCATAGATTAAAAGGATCCAAAACCAGGCTATGCGCAATATCATACAAATATCCTGACTGAAACCATGATTCGAGTCTTATTCTTTGTATCAGATAGAAATGATACGTTGCATTGAAGTTCAGCATATGAATCAACAATTAAGTGTCAAACATCATATATTTACATTTGCATGGCATTGTCACTATATAGCCTCTTTGAAAGCTGTGTCGTTGATGGGACTTTAATTACCATGCATCACGAGACACAATTCTTAGCGTATTAATACAACACTGACCGGAACTACAATATCCAATATAAATAAACATGACGGCTGCTGAAATATCGCTGGACATTGTGAGATTTGACAATGTCATTGTAAATTTATGTGCAAAATAAAAAATAAAATAAAAAACACTTTTATTACAACGAAAACAAGACCAA